TTTTTCCCGGGTTAGCCTCAAAACCTTTAAAATCCCTTTTTTTCTACACATTCTGGCCCAGCTTTTCCCAAACAGAGTTTAAGGGCCTCTTTTCACTCCCTCCCAAACCCTACCTTAAAGGTTTTTACAAATTTAGGGGATTAAAGTGATCCTTCCCAAACTCTTTTTTGAGTCTTGAGTTTTTTTGGTCACTACAAAGCACTTTTGAAACATTTGTTTTGTGACATTTTTTTGGTGTTGGAAAAGACCCGCTGGTCCGGGGGTGCAGGAGAGGAGTGGGATAGGAGGCAAAAATTGACCTTAAGAAGCCAGTCCCCAGAAACCGTCTGCCAATCTTAGGATACCGGGGGGCATTGTCTAATCCCAGGGGGCCTTTAAGGGTCTAATTTCTTTTAAATTTAGGAAATTTTTTCAGTGGGCAAATGCATGTGTAACCATCATAGAAAAAGTCCCTATGACCCATGCCCTTTCTGTTTGCCCTCCACACACACACAATTTTTGCCTTGAGGCATTTTTTTTTCCGAACACTCTGGGAGGGTTTTAGGATAAACCAATAAAGGGGGGGGGGGGGGGGTTTCACTTTTTAAACACCCACTACATTGGCACACATAAAAAGATAAGCCTGCTTTCAACTTATGTCCTGGAGTGCTTTTTTTTCCTGATAATGTAGGCCTGCATGCTTTTTTTTCCAAAAAAGGGCCCGTTTTGCACAATTTAAAAACTTTTCAGGGTTTTTCTTCACTGTTTTTTGTAATCCTTGAATTTCCTTTTACAATTTTTTCAGCTCTTTTTTGGGCCAATGGCACCTCACCATCCTTTAAACACACTATGTATGCCCCAAAAATTTTTTAAATCCCAAACAACCTTTTCTGGGCCCAAATTCACTCACATCACCACTAGTTGCAGGCAATTTCTTTACCAAATCGTCATGCAACTGCCTAGCCTTTTCACAAATGATCGCTTGAGAGATGCTATCTCCTGCTATCTGTTTTTCATTTATCCACACCAATAACAGTCTCTCAACATTTACTAACACTTGCGGTCGCTGTTTCGTAATCACAGTTGCACCTTTTGCAAGAACAGCTTCCTTGATTGCCGTTTTCCTGGTCACTATAGTAGAGATGGTTGATTGGAGTTTACTATACAACCTGACCAGCTCCAACACACGCACTCCACTTTCGTACTTTGCAATTATCTCTTTCTTCATTTCAATAGTCATTAGCTCCTTTTTTCTCGAAGGGTTGGCACTAGAAGCTTTCTTGGGGCCCATGGTGACTTATTTTGCAGAAACAAGCACCAAAAACAGTGATAATGTGGAATGTACCGAATGTATCCTTAGATGCGTGCACACTGGCTGGCTTGTAAACACTGGCACACATGGGGCAGTTCAGGCCACACGTGGACACGTCTCGTACGAATCGCATCGAATACCGGGTTTTCGATCGGATACCGAGGCAAAATTTTTGCGATATAATACATCGAATACCGGATTTATCGAATACCGATGCCGTCGAATACCGAGGGTCCACTGTACCGTGCACACTTTCCGTGCAGACACATCCTCTCATATCTAGGCTAAAATTTACTGCTCACAGCTTAGCTGAGTGAGCTGAGCTCATGAAAGAACTATGTGAGGGATCCTGGACTCATTGATGTAGTTGTGTGTGATAGCCAATGAAAGGGTTAACCTTTCCACAACAAAGTTGCAAAGGCAACTTAATGTTTTACACTTCAAACTATAATTAACCCTTTGACTGTTTCGGTCGTATGTATACGTCTTATGAGCCACCGTGTTTGACGTATATATATACATACTCATAAATTCTAGCGGCCTCAAATCAAGCAGGAGAAAGCTGGTTGGCCCACATGTGAGTGAATGGGTCTGTGTGGTCAGTGTGCGCCATATAAAAAAAAATCCTGCAGCACGCAGTGCATAATGAGAAAAAAAAACTCCGACCGTGTTTTTTTTTAATTAAAATGCCGACTTTGTGGTCTATTTTCGTATAGTATTTATGGTTGTATTGTCGTTTTCTTGGTCTCATTTGATAGAATGGAAAACATATTATAGAAATACAGGTGATTTTGATTGGTTTTACTATAAGAACAACCTGGAAATGGAGCTCGAAATAGGGGAAATGTTTGATTTTTGCCAATATTCAAAAATAAACAAATGATGTCATTGTCCAATAAATGTCCACCTAGCCATTCTAATATGCAGTCATGAATTGGTTGACATTATTTATGCAATTATTACAATATTGCTGTAGTCTGCATAACAGTAAATCTATTTTTTGTTTGAATAAAAATTCAAAATAGAAAGCAAGAGTAATATCAGAGGCGCCTGGAGACGTGACTGATGAACAAAGAAAATGTTATTTTAGAGCCAGGAATGTCTGCATTGTTCATTCTGGACCCTATTTTGAAATTGTCATATTTTTTAATTTTTGTGAAATTCAATTCAATTCAATTCAATTCAAAGTTTATTCTCTATAAGGATTACAATGTTGAATTTACAGAATTTGGTTATTGTGTGGTTTACATGTAGTTAAATAATGATTACAGAGTGTACCACTTGAACGCCTAGCATGGCTAGGCATTTCGGGCAGACTTAGTTTAATTCTTTATTTTAAAATATTACAAATTATGAGGTAAGTTGGTATTATGGCTAAGTGACTAAATACTAGTTTGTGAGTTTAGCAATGTGAATGCTTTTGTTTTGGCACAGTACATAGTTTCAGTATTGGAGTATCATAGGATTCATTATTTTAAGATTGAGATTAATATTTCTGTTTATGGTCAAATGGGTGAGTGAGTGTAAGTGTGAACCACTAGGTGGTATTCGTGTAGTTAGTTGATTGGCCAAATTGCAAATTTCTGACTGTTATTGGGTAGTTGAAATTGGTAAATGGGCAATTTCTTGTACTCAATCGATAGAACAAAATGGAAATAGCTATGAGTTTGGTAGACTGGAATGATGGAATTAGCCGAAAATAGGGCTCAAAGTGGGCGAAATCACCCATTTGTAAATATCGCTGAGGCCGCTAACTTCACGAGAGCGTAATTCCGTAAGTTTTCCATCAAATTTCGTACTTTTGGTGTCATTACCATCGGGAAAAGATTCTCTATCATTTCATAAGAAAAAATATTTTTTTTTTTTAAATTTTTGCGACACCAGGAGAGACCTCAGGATTAGGGGTTGCGAGAGGCAAGGGGGTTAATGGCCAAAAACCACTAAAGTACAGTGGACCCCTGCTTTACGATCACCTCCCAATGCGACCAATTATGTAAGTGTATTTATGTAAGTGCGTTTGTACATGTATGTTTGGGGGTCTGAAATGGACTAATCTAATTCACAATATTCCTTATGGGAACAAATTCGGTCAGTACTGGCACCTGAACATACTTCTGGAATGAAATAATATCGTAAACCGGGGGTCCACTGTAGTCTGTTGGTTCCTAATGCTCTATTCCATTTATCATAATACTGTTATAGTATTAATTACAATGTACTGTATAACATTTTTATTTTTATTTGGAAATGTGTAAGATTTAACTGTTGTCTTGTATGTTTGTAACAGAAAAGACCAGCAGCAGTACTGATGCTGCAAAACCTTCAACAGACTTTCATTTCACACATGACTTGTATAGCTATTACTGTATTATTTACTTTGTAATATAAGGGGCTTGGTCTAAGACTAGGTAAATGAACTTGTGAACCATTAACTCCTTGACTGTCGAAACCCCAAATCCTGAGGTGTCTCCTGGTGTCGAAAAATTTTTGAATATAAAAAAATTTTCTTATGAAATGATAGAACCTTTTCCCGATGGTAATGACACCAAAAGAATGAAATTTGATGGAAAACTTACGGAATTACGCTCTTGCAAAGTTAGCTACCTCAGCTATATTTACGAATCGGCGATTTTGCCCACTTTGAGCCCTATTTTCAGCTAATTTCATTGTTCTAGTCGACCAAACCCATAGCTACTTCTTTAGAACTCCATTTGTTCTATTGATTGAGTACAAGAAACTGCCCATTTACTGATTTCAACTACTCAATAACGTGGTCAGAAATTTGCAATTTGGCCAATTTCACGCAAATTAAAAAATATGACAATTTCAAAATAGGGTCGAGAATGAACAATGCAGACATTCCTGGCTCTAAAACATTTTCTTTGTTCATCATTTAAGTCTCCAGGCCCTTCTGATATTACTCTTGCTTTCTATCTTGAATTTTTATTCAAGCAAAAAATAGAAGATTTATTGTTATGCAGACTACTGCAACATTGTAATAATTGTATAAATAATGTCAACCCATTCATGACTGCATTTTAGAATGGCTAGTTGGACATTTATTGGACAATGACATCATTTGTTTACTTTGAACATCGGCAAAAATCAAACATTTCCCCTACTTTGAGCTCCATATCAAGGTTCTTTTCATAGTAAAGCCAATCAAAATCACCTCTATTTCTATAATATGTTTTCCATTCTATCAAATGAGACCAAGAAAATGAGAATACAACCATAAATACTATACGAAAATACTCCACAAAGTTGACGTTTTAATCCAAAAAACGGTCTGACTTTTTTTTCTCATTATGCACTGCGTACTGCAGGATTTTTTTTATATGCTGCACGCTGACCGCTAGAATTTATGAATGTATATACGTCAAACACGATGGCTCATAAGACGTATACATTTGACTAAAACAGTCAAAGGGTTAACAGAGAAATCTCAGTAACACAATTACAAACAAATCACGGAACGGGTGGCCTTTAAGTTTTAGGACTCGCCTGCCATGGGATCAAGCCCCACCCATTCTGTGATTACATAAGAAATTATTGCTGTACAATAAACTTTGAGCTCATTGTTATCTTAGTTTTATTTCTCTGCTTTGAGTGAGTCATTGCATCTGTTTTCTTTGTGACTTGTGTATGTATTACAGATGTTCTTGCATTAAACTAATTGTTGTACTGTTATGTTTTTTTAATTTTCCAGCCGTAAATTGTCACGCTCGTCTTCTTCATCCACAACCAGTGATGAAGAGCCAAGAACGAGAGAAAAGAAGATTGACGAAGTTGACAGATTGGCTGAACTAGAAAGAGTTAGGTTGGTTATTCTCTGATTTTTGGTTTTAAAACAATTTCTCAGGAGTGTTGCTATTTTGTAATAAATTCCCTGAATTTTGGGTTTATTGTGAATCATTCAATTCAATTCAATTCAATTCAATTCAATTCAAAGTTTATTCTCTATGAGGATTACAATGCTGAGTTTACAGAATTTGGTTATTGTGTGGTTTACATGTAGTAAAATAATAATTACAGAGTGTACCACTAGAACACCTAGCATGGCTAGGCATTTCGGGCAGACTTAGATTAAATCTTAAGTTTAAAATATTACAAAATTATGAGGTAAGTTGGTATTATGGCTAAGTGACTGAATACTAGTTTGTGAGTTTAGCAATGTGAATGCTTTTGTTTTGGCACTATACATAGTTTCAGTATTGGAGTATCACAGGCCAACTTGTGACTAGTTGACACAGTTGATACTGTGTTATAATTATTTAGGCAGTGAAGTTGGGATAGTTTGCTGTTTCACTACTATATTAGAAATGCATTTAATAATGAGAGGTTTTGATTTATATTTATTTTGATAAATATAGTCAGATTTGAGGAAATGCACAACATAAATTGAATAATGGTGAGTGGTTTCTTATTTGCGTCACCTTGCCTTGACAAGAAACAGCCATTGAATTCAAAACAGTCCATTAACCTGACTATAGAGATATGATTAAAAACTTATTTGCCATTGATATGTGATGCAGAACTTTATTGTATAACATGAACTGAAAGGGATTAGTGTTACTTTTTTATTTAATTACAGCATTTGTATTTTCTGAAAGCTTGTAGTTGTGATAGAACTTGAAAAGGGTAGAAAAATACTTTTTGCTAAAGTAAAAGGAATAATTTTGCTGACTCACGAAATCGTAATGACACGATTGCAAACAAACCATACCCCGGCCGGGATTGAACCCGCGGTCAGAGAGTCTCAAAACTCCAGCCCGTCGCGTTAGCCACTAGACCAGCTAGCCACAATAAGATTCGTCCAACTAGGTATATTTCTACACCATAGGAAGGTTAGCACAGGCACCACTATGACCACAAATGCGACGGGCTGGAGTTTTGAGACTCTCTGACCACGGGTTCAATCCCGACCGGGGTATGGTTTGTTTGCAATCATGTCATTACGATTTCGTGAGTCATATTGATGGCAGTGAAGGGACTTGAGCTAGAGTTCGTCACGGCCACGCTAGTTGGAGATTCGTCTGTAAAAACTTGCATTTGTGGTCACAGTGGTGCCTGTGCTAACCTTCCTATGGTGTAGAAATACAGTATACCTAGTTGGACGAATCTTATTGTGGCTAGCTGGTCTAGTGGCTAACGCGACGGGCTGGAGTTTTGAGAGTCTTTGACCGCGGGTTCAATCCCAGCCGGGGTATGGTTTGTTTGCAATCGTGTCATTACGATTTCGTGAGTCATGTTGACGGCAGTGAAGGGACTTGAGCTAGAGTTCGTCACGGCCATGCTAGCTGGAGATTCGTCTGTAAAAACTTGCATTTGTGGTCACAGTGGTGCCTGTGCTAACCTTCCTATGGTGTAGAAATATACCTAGTTGGACGAATCTTATTGTGGCTAGCTGGTCTAGTGGCTAACGCGACGGGCTGGAGTTTTGAGACTCTGACTGCGGGTTCAATCCCGGCCGGGGTATGGTTTGGAATAATTTTCTCATTAAATATGGGTGAATGGCAATGTTACATATAGAAACATATCTAACTATACATATCAGTTAATGAGAAAGGCTAAGCGAGTGTAAGCATAGTGTAAGTTTGGTAATATATAATGTCGGTACATAATTGGTAATACCAGTCATTTTATATATTACCTAAAAATTGAAAGGTGTGCATGTATTTTTATATACCTCCAGGAGGCAGAGAGAAGCAGAACAGAAAATGGTAGAGGAAGTTGCAGCTAAAAGACTGGAAGAGTTAGTAGCACGTAGAGTGGAAGAGGAATTGGAACGGAGACGAGATGAAATAGAAGCTGAAGTGTTACGTCGAGTGGAGGAGGCTAAGCGCCTCATGGAACAGCAGATGCTAGAGGAGCTACAAGAAAAGCGTCGTCAGCAAGAAGAGGATCAGAAGAAGCGAGAGGTAGAGCTTCTCTCCCTGGGCTTCACCGGGGATTTTTTGCTGGCTTTGTTGAGCCTCATTTGCAGGAGCTCTAGTGTGCAGATTTCTAGGGAGGGATTGTTTTACAGTGCTCCTAGCTTCATTCTCAGTATGGGAGAGACTGATGGGCTGCTTTCTAGGCCAATATTTATGCAGTTACCAATTTCAGGAAGGCTAAAGCTTTTGCACCTGAGAGGGAACCAGGGAGGGTAATTCATGAAAGGAAAACATTGGGTGAAGCTGATATGAATTTTATGAATCTTTTAAATTAATGTTCATTAAGAGAGCTGTAAACAAATACTGTAACTTAATGTGATGCAATGCCTTAGTAGCTTTTGGTCTTTTTTTTTTCCTGGGACTTTACAGTGATTTCTGTATAAAAAATGTATTGTATTCAACATTTAAATCAGGAGTAACAGGATTAATAAATTTCTACAGTAGGTTATCAGAAAAAAAACAGCAAAAATAAAAGTATACAGTAATACAATTGTCTAATAACTGTTATTTAATTCATAATTAGGTAAAAGATGATAGATCAATAAATTTCCATTCTGCATGAAGACTAACTCACACTCTTTCAGCTGATTCTTTGTGTTTTGAAAGTGAAATGTGAATTTGAGCCATTTAAAGATTCCAGAGATGTGCTGTACAAACTTTGTAATCTCTGGTATGTGATGCAGTTTAACCATGTTGCTCCCAGACAGTTATCAAGTTGAGTGTGAAGTGACTGGCTGTTGTCTTTTTTTCCCTCACTGTCTCCCATTTGTGTTGTATCATTATACTGTTGTATACATGTATTTCCTTATAAATATTATGTATCTCCTTCATATTCCTAATCATATGTACTGTATGCGTGTGTATATGGTTGTGAGTATGATTTGTTCATGTTTGTCTGGAAAAACACAAACATAGCAGTGTGGCAATGAGGCACTTTAGTGGACAACCACTGTAAACAGACTAGACATAATAATGGCGGCTTGCAACCAAGAATTGTCAGCTGCGGATTTTAGGCCAGAGCAGTTCTAGGAGTGGATTTGACGGCATCTTTATGGTAACTATATAACAGGTATAGTGATTTTTACAATGGATGCAGCATAAATTCATTAAGCTAGTATGTTTCCATTATATAATTAAACAATTATAGAACCTGGAGTCTTGAATTATATTTATTTTTCAGTACAGTACATGGTGAACTAAAATGCAGAATTTTCATGGCTTGCAGTGGAAGCTTGCCAGTTTAATGGGTTTTGTTGTGTCTAGATTCTTCTTGCAAAGTATCAGCAACTTCTGTTTAGTTTGTTACTTAGGAGTTCAATTAAATTGTTCTTATGGATCCTTTGCAGGGAGATTTTTTTACTGTGTCTTGTGTCTTAGTGTTTGCAGTAAGCATGTTGTATATAAGAAAATGTCATACTTCTTTTCAATGTTGAATACTCAGACCAACATGCTTGCTAATAGAATTATTTAACTCTGAATTAAGTACTATTTTAAAGTCTGTATTGTCATATATTTCCCTTTGCCTTTGTACCCATTGTGACCATTGATGTTTGATATGAATTTCATTTTATGGTAGTTATTTTCTGCTAGCTACTAGATACCTTCACTTCTTTGCCATCAGCTCCTGTGTACAGACTCCTTAATAATATATTTTTTATAAAATACTTAACCAAAATGCTGTTTATTAAGCTTTTAGAAAAACCTAGATTGTTCGAGGTTTACGTATGTCCTTTAATGTATATTTACAAATATACGTTTTTAAAGATATATGTACATCTCACAATATTTATTTACATACAGAATATGAAGCAATGTTTGCTTGGGATAGAGGTTATTCAGCATAGCTGATCAAACTTTTTTTTTTTTTTTTTTTTTTTTTTTTATACTGTGCATTACACCAAAAAGAGAAATTTAAAAGTTGTTAGATTGAAGAAGTGTTGGTGTCTGGTAACTAGCTTCCATTTACATGACCACCAGACTTAATAAATTCTGACACTGTGTGACGCCTCATTCTGCTTTCTAGGAGGAGGAACGTAAGCAACGTGAGGAACTGGAACGGATTATGGAAGAGAATAAGCGGAAGATAGAAATTGCACAGATGAAATTGGTACGTCATTATAAAACGTTTTTTGCTGGCGTGCTATTTTTTAGTTTAATTTTTGTACATTCTGAAAAACCCTTAGCTGTGTGACCCATCTGGGTTTAGCATTTTTCTGTATATTATATATAAAAATTCAAAGCCTATCAACAGTATGTTCAGCATTTTGGGCAAACCTAAATTAGAACTGTACTTCAGAGTTTGAGTTTAAATGTTTGGAAGTTGGTGTTAATGTATTATTGGTGTCTTAATAGTAATATGGCATGTGAATAATGAAATAATAGTAATAAACTTTGTTGTAAAATACATAGTGGTTTGGACATTTAGAGAGAATGGAGTAAAATAAGATGATTTGGAGGGTGTATAAATCTGTAGTGGAGGAAGGCAGGGTAGGGGTCGTACTAGGAAAGGATGGATGGAGGGAACGAAGGAGGTTTTGTGTTCAAGGGGCTTAGACCTCCAACAGGCATGTGTGATCATGTTAGATAGGAGTGAGTGGAGGCAAATGGTTTTTGGGACCTGATAACTTTTGGAGTGCAAGTAAGGTAACATTTTGTGAAGAGATTCAGGAAACTGGTTAGCCAGATTTGAGTCCTTGAGGTGGAAAGTACAGTGCCTGCACTCCAGAGGAAGGGTGGGGGTATTTACAGTTTTGGAATGGGCATCTGAACTATAGTATCTACATGCCTCTGGCAAGGGAGTGATAGTGGACTGTGGTGAGTGTTTCTTTTTTTGGGTCCCTCTTCTCTGTGGGAGACGGCCAGTTTGATAAAAAAAAAAAAAAAAAAAGGGTTTTGAGAATATTCTTCTGATTATAAAATGAGTGTCTATGTAAAATAGGTTCCGAATTTCAAATGATCAACTCTTAATACATTTTTGGGAACACACTAATATCATAAATGGGGGACCTACTATACTAGTATCTACCATTGAAAATGATAAATGACAATCACATGCGACCATCAAATCTAATTAACAATTCAACACACAATGGCATTGTATTGTACTCTGTCAGCACTATTTTTTAATGAAATAATGACTGCTGTCAGCCATGGGCAGTGCCAAGAGAGATCTAGGAGGCCTTCAGAACAAATCTAGCCTCCCCTTCCAACCAGATAGTGTCCATCTTCTCCCATATAGAAATTCTGATCCTGCCCTGCAATCAGCTAACCATTGGCTGAAGTTGATACAAGAAATTGTGATAAAGATCATATGGCAGTTTGAAACAAATGTAATTACTCTTTAATTATTACACTTTCTTCACTGCCATTGACTAGGTTTACTCTGAAGCATCTTCTGGCTAATTTTACAATCTAAAATATTACGATACAAATAAAGATAATATCGGCTTTGTACACTCAAAACAGCATCATACTGTATTAAAGTATAATAGTGTATATGCTTTCATATTAATTGTTCACACACCAAAAGAGGTTATGCAACATGTCTTTCATTGAAAGGTGCCCTCCTGGATTTCACTCTTTCCTGCCAAACTGTACGGCTTGCCATCATTAATTCATCTTTATTATTGGTGCAGGAACTTAGAGCCTGTTACTGGATAAGAAGACAAAATATAGCTCATGGAAGCAGAGTTAATAACACTGGCCAATAATTGTTTCAGGTCATGTTGAAGAACGTGTTTCAAACTAATTTTGGGATGCTGAATTCAAATCTGAACTTAGTTTTGTTCCACGAACGGTTTCTGTGAAATAGAACCCCACAGTGAATGATTTTGAAAGACACAACCGTCATGGAGAAGAGATATTGGGGGAAACCTGATGGCATGGTACTGCTGGACACTGGTGCAGAAGATCAATACTAAATACACTGAAAAAGCCTGAAAACTGTGATGTAAATATGCTTACTTGACTGTATGGAGTGATTGGTGGAATGATGAGGTAAAGGGTGTGAGAAAACAGAAAAAGATCATGTATGAGGAGATTTTTTTTACAGAACAGAAGTGATATAAGAAGGGTGGAATATATAGAGAGGTGAAGAGAGAGTGCAAAAGGAGAGCAAATGATAGTGGGGGAGGTGCTCTCAACAAATTTTAATAAAAATTAAGAAAAAAAAAATTGGAGATAAATAGGTTAAGAAAGCCTAGGAAATGAAAGGATTTGACAGCTAAAAATAGAATAAGGGAGTTAGTAGATGGGGAGTTGGAAGTATTGGGAAGATGGCAAGAATATTTTGAGGAACTGTTAAATGTTGATGAAGCGAGGAAGGCAGAAATTTCGTGCATTGATCAGGGAGGTATAACATCTTTTAGGAGTGAAGAAGAGCCGGATGTGAGTGTGGGGGAGGTGTGTGAGGCATCAGATAGAATGAAAGGGGGGTAAAGCAGCTGGAACTGATAGGATCATGACAAATGTTAAAAGCAAGGGGGAGGGATATAGTGTTGGAGTGGTTGGTACTTTTGTTCATGAAATGTTTGAAAGAGGGGAGGGTACCTAGGGAATGGCAGTGTGTGTGTATAATTCCTTTATATAAAGGAAAAGGGGGATGAGAGATTGTAAAAACTATAGGGGAATAAGTTTACCGAGTATACCTGGTAAAGTGTATTGTAGGGTTATTATTGAAGGAATTAGAGGCAAGACAGAGACCAGGATTGCAGATGAACAAGGAGGTTTTAGAATGGTAGGGGATGTGGAAATCCAGTGTTTACATTGAAGCATATAAAGGAATAATAATTAGATAAAGGTAGGGATGTTTTCATTGCATTCATGGATTTAGAAAAGGCATATGATAGGGTGGAGAGGGGAGCAGTGTGGCAGATGTTGCAAATGTATAGAATAGGTAGTAAGTTACTAAATGCTGTAGTTTTTATGAGGATAGTGAGGCTTAGGTTAGGGTGTGTAGGAAAGAGTTTACTTTCCAGTAAAAGTAGGCCTTAGACAAGGAATGTATAATGTTATGGTTAACATATTTATAGATGGAGTTGTAAAACAAGTAAATGCTAGGGTGTTGAGGAGATGGGTGGGATTAAATTATGGGGAATCAAATGCAAAATGGGAGTTTTCAGTTACTTTTTGCTGATGATACTGTGCTTTAGGGAGATTCTAAAGAGAAGTTTCAAAGGTTAGTATATGAGTTTGGTAGGGTGTGTAAAGAATGATGAAAGTGAACATAGATAAGAGTAAGGTGATGAGGATATCGTGATTTAACTAAAGAAAAATTGGATATCACATTGGAGAGAGGGAGTATGGAAGAAATGAATGTGTTCAGATATTTGGGAGTAGATTTGTCAGCAGATGGGTTATGAAGGATGAGGGTAGCCATAGAATTGATGAAGGAAAAAAGTTAAGTGGTACATTGAGGTGTCTGTGAAGACAAAAATGTTATCCATGGTGGCAAAGAAGGGAATGTACAAGAGTATAGTAATACCAACACTTTTATATGGGTGTGAAGCATGGGTTGTGAATGCTGCAGCAAGGAGAAGGCTGGAGGCAGTGGAGATGTCCTGTCTAAAGGCAACGTGTGGTGCAAATATTAGGCAGAGAATTCGTAGTATGGAAATTAGGAGGTGTGGAGTTACAAAAAGTATTAGTCAGAGGGCTGAGGAGGGGTTATTGAGGTGGTTTGGTCATTTAGAGAGGATGGAGCAAATTAGAATGACTTTAAGGGTGTAAATCAGTAGTGGAAGGGAGGACAAGTAGGGGTCTTAACAAAGGATGGAAGGAGGGGGTAAAAGAGGTTGTGTGTGCAAGGGGCTCGGATATGCAGCAGACGTGTGTGTGTGTGTGTGTGTGTGTTGTAGGAGTGAATGGACATGAATGGTTTTTAGTACCTGACGAGCTTTTGGAGTGTGAGCAGGGTAATATTTTGTGAAGGGATTCAGGGAAACTGGTTAGCTGGACATAAGTCCTGGAGGTGGGAAGTACAGTGCCTGCACTTTAAAGGAGGGGTGTGAGATATTGGCTGTTGGGAGTGACATCTAAACTGTCATATGTGGGCACCTCTGTAAAGACAGTGATTATGTATGAATGATGGTGTGTGTCTTTTTTTTGGGTCACTTTTTTTTTTTTAACAAGTCGGCCGCCTCCCACCGAGGCAGGGTGACCCAAAGAGAAAGAAAATCCCCAAAAAGAAAATACATGTACTTTCATCATCATTCAACACTTTCACGTCACTCACACATAATCACTGTTTTTGCAGAGGTGCCCAGAATACAACAGCTTAGAAGTATATACTTATAAAAATACACAATATATCTCTCCAAACTGCCTATATCTTAATAGTTCTTGGTCTTATTACTTTTCCTTTTATATCCATGGGGAAGTGGAATAAGAATCTTTCCTCCGTAAGCCATGCGTGTTGTAAAAGTCAACTAAAATGCCGGGAACAATGGGCTAGTAACCCCTTTTCCTGTAAAGATTACTAAAAAGAATAAGAAGAAAATTGTCAAAGTGGGAAGTCTGAATGTGCGTGGATGTTGTGCAAATGAAAAGAAAGAGATGATTGTGGATGTTATGAATGAGAAGAAACTGAATGTCCTGGCTTTAAGTGAAACAAAGCTGAAGGGGGTGGGAGTTTCAATGGAGAGGAATAAATGGGATTAGGTCAGGGGTTTCAAACAGAGTTAGAGCTAAAGAAGGAGTAGCAATAATGTGGAAGGATAAGCTATGGCAGGAAAAGAGGGACTACAAATGTATAAATTCAAGGATTATGTGGAGTAAAATAAAGATTGGATGTGAAAAGTGGGTTATAGTAAGCGTGTATGCACCTGGAGAAGAGAGAAGTGTAGAGGAGAGAGATATTCTGGGAAATGTTGAGTGAATGCGTGGGGAGTTTTGAATCAAGTGTGAGAGTAATGGTGGTTGGGGATTTCAATGCTAAAGTGGGTAAAAATGTTATAGAGGGAGTAGTAGGTAAATTTGGGTGCCAGGGGTAAATGTAAATGGGGAGCCTTTAATTGAGCTATGTGTAGAAAGAGATTTGGTAATAAGTAATACATATTTTATGAAAAAGAGGATAAATAAATATACAAGGTACGATGTAGCACGTAATGAAAGTAG